AACTTGTCTCCATGAGTCAAAACCGAGCAAGTCTGGAAATGTTTCCTTAGAACAGTCATGACTTTTAGACATGTGATTTCTTGAACTCAAGAGACGAACAAGAATTTGGAATAGCATTACTCAATGAAAACTTGTAATTTTTGTTCTTGCTATTGACATTCTACCAAGAACATCAGCAATGACAAACTCTACACTTTGCAAAAAAATTAAAATAGAACTTGTTTCCATGGTTACAAAAGTGCTGTTTGTTTTGGGAGTTTAAAACAATCATTAGACCTGAATGCAGTGGCTCACGCCTGTAATTTCAGCACTTTGGGAGGCTGACACAGGCAGATCACTTGAGGTCCGGAGTTCAAGACCAGCCTTGCCAACCTGGCAAAACCCCATCTCTACCAAAAATAAAAAAATTAGCCAGGCATGGTGGTGGGTGCTTGTGATCCCAGCTACTCAGGAAGCTGAGGCAGAAGAATCACTTGAATCTGGGATGCAGAGGTTGCAGAGAGCCAAGATTGCACCACTGCACTCCAGCCTGGGCCACAGAGCGAGACTCCATCTCAAAAACAAAAAATGAAAATAAAAAAATAAAATGATCATTATCCATATCTAATGATGAGTAAATAAAATCCACATGTGACCAAAAATGATGATCTGCAATGACAGGATTGTATAATGGCACTTATTTTCCTAATAATAAATAAATCTGAGCATGACATATGCAAATAGGCAAAATTCTCCTCCCAAACCAGCGAGACAAGTCTTCCAGGTCCCATTTCAGCAACCCCAGATAGCTTTGGACTCTCCACTGATAAGAATTTCAAAAGAAACAATGTAAAGTGAGCCTTTCCTTTGTTAGGGTGTGAAAGAGACCCAGCTGTGAGCGTGTCTCACAACACAGGTTCCATCCTCATCATACATCAAAGCTTTTTGTTATTTTGAAATAAAACTTATTCTACAAACGCTTATTGAACAATCTTTATGCCCCAAAAATCAGTGTCAGGCAAGAGGAGTACAGCAGTGAACAAAACAGATTAAAAACCCTGCCCTCATAGAGATTATTCTGAACCTGAGTTCAAATCCCAACCCTATTGCTTAATACGTGTATATTAAATGGTTTTTGTTTGCCCCCTTTGATCCTCAGCTTTTCCATCTGTAAAATGGAGATTATAGAACTTCCAGAGTTGGGCTAGTCACAGTGGCTCACGCCTGTAATCCCAGCACTTTGAGGGGCCGAGGAGTTCCAGACCAGCCTGACCAACATGGTGAAATCCCATCTCCACTAAAAATAAAAAAGTTAGCCAGGTGTGGTGTCAGGCACCTGTAATCCTCAAGAGGCTGAGACAGGAGAATCGCTTGAACCCAGGAGGCCGAGGTTGCAGTGAGCCAGGATTGCACCACTGCATTCCAGCCTGGGTGACAGAGAGAGAGGGAGAAAAGGAAAGAAAGAAGAAAAGAAGAGGAACCTGCCTTGCAGAGATTGGTGGGGAGGTGTAAAGTCAGATGCCAGTAAAAGGCCTCACACAGTGGTCTTTGAGTGACGACTGTTCATTTTTCTCTTCTCCAGCTGGGCCTCTTCCTTTCACCCCACCTCCTTCATCATAAAAGAAACAGTTTCCTGTGAGGACGGCCCAGCTTTCCCTCTGCCTCTGCACAGTCCTCAGAATGCTGCTAGGTTCTCTTTCAGGTAAAGATGAGGAAATAGCAGTACCATGACTGCCCACAGCTGTGTTCCCACTGGGCACTGTGTGTGGAAGGAGGGCCCTTCCCAGCGGAGATTCCAAGGGGATCAAAGGAGAGACACTAAAAAGCAGACACTTAGCTCATTTAAACGTTCAATTCTAAAATCAGTAATGGGCCTATTTTTATTGGCAATGCTTGATCATCACATTTTTGAAAATTATTTGATTTCTAGCTTTGGGGTGAATTGCTTTTAGTAGTACTACGATATCATTGTATTTCTGCACAGAATTTTCTTCTGAAGGTTGATAGATCTAATTCCTTGACCGCGTCATACGTACATTATTCGCTGGCATGTTCTGGCACATAATCAGTTCATTTGCTAGCCATTTGGAATTAAATATTAAATATATCTCTGGTTCTCTCCGTTGCCTTAAAAATGGGATTGAGTACACTGTCTTTATCTTCTGATGTATTTTCTGTTTTGTTGAAAAGTTATGTTGAAGCGACAAAACAGTAAAATGAAAACTGATTTAATTGCTTTTATGTTTTAACAAGCTTAGTGAGATAATTTACAAACTGCGAAGTTCAGCCATCTTCAGGGTACATGTCAATGGTTTTCAGTGAATTCACAGAATTGTGCAACCGTCATAATCTAACCTTAGAACATGCTCACCATCCCAGCAAGGACACCTGGAGCCACTAGAAGGCCTTCTCCATTCCCTTCCCCCACACATCTTACCCCAGCCCCAGCCACTGTGAGTCTAACTTTCTGCATCTGTGGATTTGCCTGTCCTGGGTTCTTCTGTAAATTCGTGGAGCGAGTTGTTTGTGTAGCAGCTAATAGATACTTAACGTGGGGAAGAAAAGTGGTCTGGGGTTCTGCAGCACAAATATCCCAGAAAACTGGGTATTCTGCTGATGCAGGAGTAAGCTTCCATGCCTGAGAATGTTCCAGAACAGGCAGAATAATGGCCTCATCTAGCCAGCATCTCTGACACTCTCGGAATGTGAAGTTTCTGTGGGTTTTAATGTTACCAAGGAGTAAAACTGTGTAACATTTAAACAGCTACATAATACCAACATTCATGTCTATAGTTAACAAAGTTTGATCCAGCAATTTGAATATCTAGATTATTAAATATGTTGCACATTCAGTTTCTAGTTTGTGTAATAGTGCATGAGTGAAGCTCTCCCTCCTGGTGTCTTCCAGAATACAAATGTCAGATCTGTCAGCACGCTTTCCATGAAGCCGGGCCTCAGTCTTGTAGCTGGATTTCTAAAACTGTGTGTTAGTGCCCAATACGCACCTCACAGCTGTGCTGAAAAACACTCCCGCAGCCCAAAGGCACCATCCGCTTTCCAGGATGTCAGTTGCGTGAAGGTTTTGGTCTCCATTTTCCTGTACTGCCTACGTGCTAGGATTTCAGCAATTTCACTGTTAATCGGTGCTCTTTCTAATAAAAATGAAAGATTAAATTCACAATAGCAGTTTTTCAACTTTGGACATGGCTTTGCTACAGATATGGAAATTACAGAGCAATGTGGAATTTTGTCACTGTCCATAGATTTCAGTGCTCTGAGCCCCCCTGGCTAAGAAGCGAACGTCAAGAGTTTTCAGACTTTGCAGTGGAAGTCGGTGCTGGCAGTGCAGGGGCCTCCGTTAGGACATTGTCAGAGACGCTTGCAAATGTGTCTGCTGGCAGCGGGGCTCCAGAGACCCTGACCGGGTGCAGGCAGGTGCTCTGCAGGGGGTCAGTTGGCTTAACACTCAGTTGGGCGTTAACAGGTGGGCTGTAACATTCACATGGTGACTAGAGAGACCTCTGTCCATTGGCTGTTGTCTTGTTATCATGTCCCTTTTCTGATGGCAAAGAACAAGCAGATTAACCCGTAGACACATAGGCTGCTTACTTAGAGAAACCATCCCCCATCAAAATACATGAAGATCGTATTCATCCGCTTACCAGCCCATCTGTGTGTATCCTGTTATATAGGGAATCTTGAACACTCACACTCTCCTCACTCCCCACACTTACACACACACCACACTCACACACACACACGTCCTCTAACAGAGTCACATTCCCACAGTCACACAGTCACACACACACACAGGATGCAACAGACAACTTTACAGTCATCCTAAGGATTGTTGTTAAGAGAACCGACATTTCCATTTCCTACAAGTAAATTTATTTGGAAAGAAAACAAAATACAATGTTTTTAAATGAACGTTTTCCCTTCTCCTCTTACAAGTTCAGTTCAGTTTGCTTTTAAGCATTTCAAATCTGACTTTGTTTATTCACGTGGCAGGTGATCCTGGGGCCCCTCATGTGTGGGGGCCTCAGCACCACATGGGACAGAAGGGTGTGACCAGAGAGCACCTGCACCCCAGGTGCGAGTAGGGAGCTGGGGTAGGGAGGCAGGGTGGGGAGGCAGCCCCCGGAGAGGCTGTCCAGGCACGAGAGGTCAGGAAGGCCTGGACAGGGAGAGCAGCCTGTGAGCAGAACTTCCTGCTGAGCAGGAGGACAGCAGTTCCCAGGCCTGGGACACTGGAGCCTGATCTCTGGAGGCAGAGGAGAGGGCCAGGGGGCTGGCACCACGGCAGCTGCAGCAGAGTTTGGGGAGGTCACGGTGGACCTGAAGCTTGAGGGCAGTTGAGGAGGGGTTTGAACCCCATCTCAGGTGTGTAGTCTGTGAGCCACCAGCGTGGTGCTGGGCATTGCAGCATCCACAGGGGGCGTGGAAGAGGCTGCTGCCCTCGGGAGTTCACATGCAGGTGAATGGGGGCACTTATGAGACATTTAAGTCACCAGAGAGTGCATTTGACCTCCGCAAACCAGCCCCGGGTGCAGTGCAGAGGGCATCAGGGGAGGGTCCAGCAGGAGGAACTCACCTCCCAAAGGAGGGCAGGATTTGCACAGCCTCCAAAGAGGAGGCAAAGAGGCAGAGAGCCTCAGGATCAAAGATACAGAAATTGGGAGGCACAGGATGGCAGCCAGGGCAATGGCACAGGGGCAGGAGTCCAGGTCAGGTGGAGTTGCTGGGACCAGATCCGGCCTGGAAAGCCGAGCAGAGCTGACGTGCGACAGTCCTGCCCTGCATGTGTGGGCATGTGAGCAGCGTTTGTGAAAACAGCGACTTAAATCAACAGAGACGTGTCTGCTCCCACGTGCCCTGCATCCCTTTCTCACCAACTCTGAGTCCCCTGGGAAAGTCTTACCCATCACCCCGCAACACCGAAGCGATAACTCAGTCCATTGCAGTGTGGGGGGCATGCTTGCAGGTTCAAAGCTTAATCCCAAATGAAACCATTTTGTAAATGAAAACATTTCATGCACTGCATTTGGGTGTTTGTAGAGGTTCAGACCAAAAAGGACCTTGCAACCCATGTCCACGCTGCTGTGAGTGTCACACTGGCCTCCAGTGATTGCAGCAGGAGCAGGGCAGGGTCACCAGCAGGTCTGCGGGGTGCCCTGCAGGCCACAGCACTTATTTACAGCTTTTAGATGCCATGGTAGCCAGCACCCCTCAGAAATAACCCAAGACTGACTCACAAGAATCTATCCCAACTTGTCCCTGTGATAAACATAGAAAAACGATACAGTGAGATTTAAGGAGATAATTGTATTTCAATTTTGAAGAACTGTTTATGAATTTATTTTCATGATGTGGAGATGTTGACTTTCTACTTATGATCACTTTTTTAATTACCAACTTATTCAAGATTCATTCAACAAAAGGTGAAAGGTTATTGTAAGTACCCATTGTGATTAAGTTAGAATTTCATAAATATACCTTTAAAAGTCTCTTCCTCCTCTGGATGCATAGATGGGAAATATTTCAATTGCTTCCTTCTGATAGGCCTTATAAAATGTAAATAATATCTGATTCTTTGACTGATACATTTTCTCAAAATGTTTCCTGAAAGAAAAACAAGGCATTTAAATGTTAGTATGCATTCTTTTCTAAAGCAATGTATATCTGGGAGTAGCTTGGTTGTATATCCAGTGCGGTTGGAGGGAGTCCTCCGAGGCCAGTTTTATAAATGATACCTCGGAGCATCCTTCTTCCCATTTGTCTAATTATTACATCACCTTCCCCTAATCTGGAAAATCGTGTTACTGCCTGAGGCTTTTTGAAAGTATTTTACTGAATAGTTTCTCGCTTGAAGAGCTTTTAAGTTATTTTTATCCTTAAAAAATAGTAGCTAACACGAGCTGGTACCGGGCGGCCCTGTGCGGCCGCTTGCTGGGTGTTGCACGCCGTTTCTGAAAAGCAGACATTGTGTGAGGCCCCGGCCCCGCCACTGTGCAAGACATTTGACACCATTGTTCCTGCAGCTTCCAGGGACAGTAAGTGCTGCGTACAGCTTGGCCACTGTCCCCAAGAAAAGACCCAAAATAACTCTCTCCCTTACAAAATGCCTGGTGGTAAATGTATCCGTTATTTTTCCCATTGTAAGCTGTGGGTCATGTCTATCTTGCAAAACAGAATACATATTAATGGTTATGGTTTTTCACTCGAGTTTGCAGATGAGAAATAATGAAAGTATTCTCTGAATATTTACAAAACCATGCAAATGTTTTTGGAAGTGTGAAAGGTGAACCTGACATGTTTCAGCTAAGGGAAGGGGTGCCATTCAGAGTGAGGCACAGCATGGACTCACCGCAAGGTGCCCAGGGCCGAGAGTCAGGCCCGCTGGGGGGACTGAGCAGGAGGTTTCCTAGGTTCTCAAACACGTGCCTTTGTCTGGGAGGGTAAAAGAGCATGCCACTTTCTGCACACCTCCCTTGCCCTCGCTTCTTAAATTTGGAACAGTTGTGAGATAATGCAGGGAATGCGTGTATTCAGCAAGCAAAACTTCCAGAAAGGTCATAGAAAATGAGAGCTGTTTCCACCCCATCATGAATTCTGTTTTCCTTTATTTCTGTGTCAGAGAGCTCAGCTGGTAATTGTCTCATACAGCGCCGCGATTGCCAGAAAGCTAGCCTCTTTTTACTGGTTACAAACCCATGATGCAGGGTCTGTGGCACTAATCTCATGGGCGTTCCGTGGGTCTCTTACGGATCATTCTTTCTAAACAAACGTGTGTTTGATCATCTAGCAAGCAAATTTTAGAATTGGAAGGGAAGAAAGAAGTAAAAATAATAGAAGAGTCTAAAAGTCAGTTCTTAAAGAAGCTTAAGACACTTGTGAGTGCCAAGGCAGGTGCATCCGCATTTATGTAACTGTGGCTTTATGATTGACATGTGATTTTGTACAAATGAAGTTCTCAGTCCTCAGTAATTTTCCTACTCTAAGAACAATGAAAACCAAGTCACAAGCACTCATGCAATGCGGAGCAGGGATGCCGGCCGCACCAGTGTTCCCTGGCTCAGAGGTCCTGGCTGTCGAGGTGTCACTGCAAGTGCTCTATTCGGGTGACAGGAGAGGTGCTGCACATCCACCCCTGCATCTCCCTTCTACTCCCCTTTTCCTCTAGCTTCTCAGTGATACGTGATCACAGATCCTGTTCTTCCTTCCTACCACTTAATTCACAGCTCCTACCTGATTTCAGAATGTCTTTGTCTAGAAACAGCTCTCCTCTGGCAGGATGCTGACATGAGGAAAGGCTGCTCACGCTGTTCACACTCACCTGCACCCTGTCCTCCAGCATATGGGGTCCTGTTCCCCCTCCCCTGCGTGCCTGCTGTGTTCCAGGGTGGCTTTTGGGTATGAATTAAATGTAAATTGTCCCCTAGGGCTGACTTCTTCCATCACCTTACATTCATCCTCTGGTTTTAAAATAATTCTCGTCCATTTCCTTCATGAAATTAAAACTGAATGCATTTTTAACTTGGCCTTACCTGTCTAGCCACGGAGCTTCAGCAGTGCACAGTAGTACCTCGCCCTGGCTTCCTGCACCTAGAGGCTCACAGAAATCTGACTCCTGAGTTGAGTTGTGTTCACTCTCAGTGCTCTGTCCTATCAGGGCAGCACCAGCAAATCATGCCTGCCCATTCTCAGAGATTTAAATGACCTTATTGATCACAGAAGGGCCAGATAGTAACCTTCGGTTTTCAGGCCACGCAGTCCCTGTGGAGCCTCTGCCTGCGTACCTGCCGTCAGTGCACAAAAGCAGCCAGGGACACTTTCATCAGCAAATGACTGTGACTGTGTTTCAGCGAAACTTTATGGACACCAAAAATCGAATGCACTGTGACTTTCATGTGTCACAAAATACTATTTTTCTTTTTTAACTGTTCAATAGGTAAAAAAAATCCTCACTTTTCCAGCTGTACAAAAACAGATGGGCTAGATTGGGCCCCGAGGCATTGTTTGCAGATGCTTCTCACTGAGGATTCAAACCTCCATCCTAATCAGTGACATCGTGTTCTGCCCAGTACAGAATACAAAGGAGAAACTCTGGTCACTCTTCAAATTTCTTCGGCTTTAAAATATTACCTAAAAAGCAAATAAGAGCAGAAAATCAAACACCGCATCTTCTCACTCATAGGCAGGTGTTGAACAATGAGAACACATGGACACAGGGAGGGGAGCGCTACACACTGGGGTCTGTTGGGGGGAAATGGGGGAGGGACGGTGGGGGTGGAGAAGTGGAGAGAGATAGCATGGGGAGAGATGTCAGATATAGGTGAAGGGGAGGAAGGCAGCAAATCACACTGCCATGTGTGTACCTATGCAACAATCTTGCATGTTCTTCACATGTACCCCAAAACCTAAAATGCAATAAAAAAAATAAATAAAAAGCAAATAAGAGCACACATTGTATTAATTGTTGAGTCATTCTTGCATCAAGCAAGTGATATGCATACATGTGTAAATCTATGTATGCACATGTCCATACGTACATAAACGTACATCCACACACACACACATGCATGTATGCACCCATATATAGCAAGCACTTGATGCCAAGCCCGGGGTTAGGTGCTGGGAATGTAGGAGAGAGGGGAACAGACACAGTCAAAGGTCTGCAGGCTTAGGCTCGTGTCATTCCCAGGAGCCAGTTGTGGCATGAGAGCAAAGAAACACCAAATACCATGTCAGTGAACAGTGTGCCTTTCTACTCCCAGCATGCTGTTGAGTAAGGGCCACTACTACTGGGTCCCTCAGGTGTAAACTCTGGTTAGTAACGTGCGCTGTCTGTGTATCAGAAGACCAAATATGAAGGCGCAGCAGAAAGGTCTTTGCAACCTGGAACCCAGGACTGCCAGTTCACACTGTGGCCAGCCTTCCTCATGTGGCTGAATTATTGCAGAACTTGTCCCCATCTCCTGTTATTTGCCCACATGTTTCTTTTCTTTTAAACTGAGCTGTTGTTCCTCACCCCTTTAATCTAACACTTCTGGCACAAACTCTTAATGTCTATGCAGATCGCACATGGATGTGATTCGTCTTTCAATGTACTGATCGTTTGTGGATGCATTGAGGTCTTCTAACTTAGTATTGCTGGCTGCTAAAATCATGGGCCCTGGAACTGACTGAAGCCATTATTTACAAGAACCCTTTCGAGGATTTGATTTACTGTCTCGGTTGGATTTTTAATATCGATTCCCTTATTCCCTACTGTGACTCTGCATTTGCATGGAAATAACCTGCAGAGGCAGAGGTGCTATTTATTTCACAACGATGTATTTCTGTGTAATTGGGGAACACACCGCAGACCTCGAGAGGCCTGTCGCCTGCTTTCCGCGTGTGGCCACGTCTCTGTCGCCAGCATTTGGTGCCGTCCTGTCACCCAGCAGCTACGTGCCTCAGGCACCTCGGCTGCTCAGAGCAGCTTCGTCGGAGAGACTGTGTGTGCTTCCTCCTCCTCCCACTCTGCAAGCCAGAGGACGGAAGAGAAAAGGAGAAGGCCAGTAAAATACTGAGGTTTTAACTACCTGCTCAGTCACAAAATCGATCTGCTTGGAAGCTGGAGCTCGCCACTGTTGATTCATTCCCCCCGCATGCCCTGCACAGCTCTCCAGAATCAGCCCCCAGATCCTGTTCAGTGACGCTCAAGAGGAGAGCTGCTGGCCCTGCTGAGGATGCCCAAAAACAGCCCCTCCAGTCACCTCTCTGTGGCTCTGGCCAGTCTGTCCCCAAAACTGGCCATACTCCCGATCTCACTGGGGGATCAAATCTGGCCACTTGTTCGGCCCAGTCCTCCAAAATGTGACCAGTGGTGTGAGTCTCATCTCCTCTTCCTTTCCCTTTTCCTCTAATTTGACCCAAGAACTGCCAGCTGTATTTGCTGTATGAGAAAAAGGAGCCGGCCTAGCAAGTTCTCAGTCAGCAGAATGATTGTAGGGGGTGTTTCCTTACCCAAAAATCTTTAAAGTCCATCAAGTTTGAAAGAATTCTTAAGCAGTAATGCTTGCAGGAGGGTCTTTCATGGCAATGTGCTTATTCTGAAAGGTTCTCCCTCAATATGATGGCCATTTGCTTTCTGTAGAGTATTTTTTCTCGGAAACCTATTATTATAGACTTAGGTCCCGTGTATTTAATTTGTATGAAAGTAAGTCAGCCTCACGGTCGTCCTTCTCCACCTGCAGTGTGAGTGTGGCGTCACGGCATTGCGTTAGGGTCATCTGCAGGGCTGCCTTACTGCTGTCAAGACAGTGAACAGACAGCTCCACATGGACCATACACTTCTCGTCTTGGTACCGGGAGAGCACTGGCCTTCATCGGCCAAAGACTGACTTTTAATGGAGATGTGAATGGATGGTTCATGTCAGTGACCACAGCACATTTTGAACTGAGAAACAGAAAAACAGGATGGATTCGTGAAATGTAACAGTCTTCTTTGCTCAGAAATATTTAGTGGACATCTACTACATGTATAACATTCTGGTAACAGAGAAAAACTATTCCAAAGAGTGTACAGTGGTGATCTGTGGGCAAATAGACACTTAGAATGCAGTGTATACGTCCCAGGACACCTGCGGGTCCCATTCACTGTGAAAGCCATAGGTTGATAACCCACTTAGAATGAGCATGAGTCGGGAATGCGGAAGAAGCAGGTATATGGAGAAGCAAAGGAAACCTGGGCAAAGTTTTAGCAGCATCTCGCAGCCTGTGCCCACAGAGTCTGTTCTCCGAGGGCTGCCAGGCACCTGGGGAGCTATGCTTCCATGGAAGGTAAACTTGGTGGACGCTGCATCCTCCGGCTCTGCACAGTGAAGCCCCCGATGAGTCTTGATTTACAGAAGCACTTCCCTAGCCATTTAACCACGGAGCCGTGCTTTCTCAAAGACCAGATTTTGACATCGTGCAGCGCACTCAGGCTTCAGGAAACAGTTTGAGAAAAGCTAATAGACAGACCTGAGATAATGGTGCACGGGGGCCTGCAGCAAATGGTACAAAGAGGA